GAACATAGGACTGACATGTAGGTGTTCTTGTGATTGAAAACATTGTGTTGATATGTTATTGCATAGTAATCAGCAAATTCTGAATAAATATTCTGAAGATTGTTAATGTTTTCAGCCCTTTTCAGTAGCTTATATGTAATATATTGGGAAGGTTTGTTAATGATCAGTGGCAGATATATTATACCTTTGCATGGGCTTGTTCCTTACATGAGTGTATGTCTTCAGGAGGCAGAATCATTCATTATTAAAACTCAGTTTAATTGTCCCACTCCCCTTTCAGACTGGAATATTATTACTGTTGAGGTTTTTGTTAATAAGCCTATCTGTCCTCACCATGGAAAAGAGGAGGATGTCGTTTCTATTTGACATGCTTCTTCTTGTAAAGAAGCCAATAAATATCCTCACAGATTTAGTCCATTTTCTGAGGATTTCAGGTGCTCCTTTGCACTTTCCTGGCAATGCTCATATTATCAGCGCTCTGTTAACTCTGCTTGAGGCCAAGCAGAGCAAGAAAAGTTTAATCAAAACCATGTAAAAGCCTAATCATTCTGCCAATGCCAAAGAGCTGCATGAGGCTCTAGAGCCACAGGCTGAATATCATTTTTCCATATTATCACATAAATAGCTCCCTAAACACTCTTTAACAGAAAAGGTGGGGATGGGGGAGGGAAAAAGAGAAGGCCTGTTGTGGGATCTGAGTTTATAAAGTAGATTAAGTTCATGTGCTCTCCTCTTCTGCATGCAGTGGAGGGAAAGGTAGATCTAGTAACTCAACAGGAGACATAAACTTCTGATGGGTATTGTATTTTCCCTAAATCTATGTAGTTGCTAGCAGCACCACCACATTCTTTTTATTTAAAGAGGATTGTGAAGTAATAAGGTGGGACATGTGATCCAGGTTCCTACTGCTTTTGCATGACACAGCTTGTCCTGTGCTAAGCTGCAGACAACAGATGCAGCCATTTCCAGGCTAGAGTTCTACATCTTCTGAGAACTTCTGGGATGGTGGGAACTCAAGAGTGGCTGTTGCTGCAGGGAAAGCGTAGCTACAGCAGGCTGTGGCTTCTAGCAAGCTCTAACAGCTACCAGTAAGCTCTGTCAGCTACTACTGGTCAAAAGCTGCATTGAGCTTGCCTTCCAGTTGTCTCCTGATTAGAGTGGGTCAAGCACCCTCTCAGCAGGTGCTGGGGAGAAGCACGTTTAAGTGCAGAGCCTGGAGCACTGCTCCCAGAGAGAGAGAGCAGATGCAGCAGTTTGCACAGCAGTTCATGAAGAAGGGAGTCAGAAACTCTGCTGAGGGCAGTGTATGTGTGCTCAGCAGTGCTTGTGATGCACCACATGGCACAGTTCCTAGCACCGTCTGGAGCAGCTCTCCCTGGTACATCAGAAACCTGGAGTCATAGCTAGCTCCAGAGCTCCAGCTAGAATAGAGATAATGGTCTTGTCTGCAAGAATCCGTATTACCAAGGAAAGAAGATGCAGGAAGATGTCAGTAAACTGTGCAGGCATCACTAGATCTGATGAGTAAGAGATGAATAAGATCTTCTCTGAGACCCTGTCAGGTACAAGATCCTGAAACCCCAGACACAGAAAAGGAGGAGCAGGGAGAGTCAGTGGTAATTGGGCTGGAAAATTGGGAGTCCTGTGATGGTAAAGGCTGGAAGCTTGTAATTTTTGGCACTGGGAGGAAGACTTCTGCTCCACCTGCAGGTCTGCAGCTACAATTTCAGTGCCACAGCATAACATGAGAGCCTGGGAGCTCCCAAAGCATCCAATCCAGCCAAATTAGAGGCCTACAGCAGCCCCAGAAGCAAGCATCAAGTGATAATAGTGAGCAACTTCCTACTGCAGGGGATGGAGACTACCATCTGTGAATCTGACCTGCTGTGCAGGGAGGTTTGCTTCTCACTGAGGGATTGGGATATTGTGGATAGACTGCCAAGAGTTATGTGTTCCTCAGATTATTACCCACCACTGCTCTTCATTGTGGGCACCAGTGATACTGTAAGGGGACACATGGAGCATAACAAGCATGGCTACAAAGATAATTTTTACAATTGTGGCACCCTCTTTGAGGATCAATGCTTGGAAGAGACAGGCTCCACCTGACCAAGTGGGGCAAGCATCTTTGTCAACAGGCTGGCCAATCTGGTCAAGAGAGCTTTAAGGTGATGGAGAATGGAGTTGACTTATAACCAAGCTAGGAGGTGATGGACCGAGTTAGTAGGCAAAGACAAGATGTTGACAAGAGAGACCCTAAGACCAACTAAACAGAGCTGAAGGGATCCCACTCTAAGTGTATGCACACAAGTAATGAATAGCCTACAAGACAGCATGATAGGGGAAATCCTTATACCCTTTCTGGAATATCAGTACACTTGGGTTCCTGTCTGAAGTGCCAGTACACTAACACACTTAGCACAGAGAATGAGCAGGAGGAACTGCGGCAGGGCTGTAACATCACTGGAATCACAGAGGCATGGTGGTATAGCTAACACAAATGGGGTGCTGCCATGGATGCATACAGAATTTTTAGGAAGGACAGACCAGGATTGCAAGGACTTCATTGTCCTTTATTTGAGAGATCAGTTGGGAATGCATGGAGCTTTGCCTGGGGGTGAGTGACAAAACAGCTGATAGTTTATAGGCATAGCAGTGCAGGTAATACTGCAGTGGGTGTCTCCTACAGACTGAATGATCAAGAAGTAGATGAGGTCTTTTTCAGATAACTGAAGAAGGTTCATGACCACAGCTCTGTTCCTCATGGAGGACTTTAACCACCCCCAGTATATGCTGGAGCAACATCACAGCATGGCACAAACAATCCAGGAGGTTTCTGGAATGTATCAGTTACAACTTTCTGGCATAGGTAATTGAGGAATCTGTGAGGATGGGCATCCCTACTGGAGCTCACAGTTTTAAACAAAGAACTGGTCAGAGATGTGGAGGTTGGAGTCAGTGCAGCGATCATGAGATGGTAGTAGGATCTTGAGAGAACAAGGCAAATATCACAGGTCACAAACTGGAGTTTGAGGTAGCAGGCTTGGGTCTCTTCAGAGACCTACTTGGAAGAATCCTAGAGGAGACAGTTCTGAAGAGAGGAGAAGTCCAGGGGAGCTTGTCAGGTTTCACCTCCTCCGAGCTTGAGAAAAAATTAACTGTCCATCTCAACACACAGGTAGTCAAGTAAAAGCAGCAGAAAGCCTGCATGGATGAACATGACCTTCTGACTAAACTCTTAACAGGCTTTGTGACCAAGGAAGTATAGTTTGACCTATGTTTGGTGTCAGAGGCCTGTTCATGATTCTTAGATTTAAATTCTTCCAATGTATTATTTACATCTATTGCCTGCATATTCCCTAAATTTATTTTTAATATTCTCTAAAACAATGCTGAAAACCAAATGAAGCTAATAAACTGAAAGAAAATATTGATACAGGAAGCATTTCAGGGAAACTCACTCTTGAAGTGAAGGAAAAGGGTGAAATTCTGCCTTTGACTTAAAAAACTGCCATTCTTTTTGAGGTGATCTCAATGTGAAGCCACTGTAATTTTTTAGTGTAGATTTTGTCACATTGATAGTGTCTTGAGATTGTGTTTAGACCTTTTAGAAGCAGAGGGAGGCAGAAGGTGAATGCTGTATTGCAGAAGCAAAGAGGGCACAGTGGAGTGGAGCAGAAGTTAACATTCTTGAACTGTTTCTTTGGTTTGACAGCTGCTTAGTTAATGAATGGCACCAGAGTGTTTAATTCCATTATGTATGTAGGACCTTTGTAATGGTCTTCCAGAAACAGTGGTCAAACATTAGAATGGGTCATCCAGAGATGATGTGGAATCTTCATCCTTGGAGACATCCACAATACCCTGGACAATGCCTGAACAAGACAGTGTAACTTCAGAGCTCGACTGTGCTCTGGGTACTGTGTTGGACCAGATAACCTCCAGGAGCCTTTCCAACCTGAGTTATTCTATAATTTTATGAAAATGTTATATAAGCAAAAGCATTTCCAGGCCTTAATAATTCCCTAAAAGTGTGTTAAACTGTAAACAAGAAAGCAAATACCCATTTTTTGCATGTCATAAAGGCAACTTAGCTCACTCCTCCAAGGCCCTATAGCCAGAGGCTTGTTGGAGCCAGTGTTATGGTTTTGCTCTTTCCATATAAATGTATTTTTAGAATTAGGCACAAGTTCAGGGGCACTGAGACTGGAGTGCTTATTCACACTTGTTTGGGTTTGAAGTGTGCTGCTCTCTGGTAAGCTTTGGATTTTGTTTTACAGTTGAAACGAATTGGTTACAATTATTAATGTAAAGTCAGAAAGTCTTCATTCATGTCAACAGGTGAAGAGAGCACATTTAAAAAAGGGTCCTTTTAGAGGAATAAGGAAAAGGTTGTACTGCATTTGAATGAATCTAGTACTTTGAGTGAATCTAGTTTTGTTGCAATGAACCTCGCTTTTGGCCATGCTTTTGGAATCCTAGGCTTTTTTACATTGCCATAAAATATGGACAAGTTATTTGTCAAGTGAGGACCCATTTCTGCTAGATATATTCTCTGCCATCTTACTTTTATAGTCCCCAAGAGCTGAGCTATTCTGACAGGTTTCATATGAGCGACTGCACAATCCTTACTCTGTGCCACTTGTCTGTGGGACAGGAGTTGTCTCCCAGGCGTGGCTTCCACTGGAGTTTTCGGTTCTCCTAATGTTTCACCTTCCCAAGACTCAAACCAAGAAGAGAGCAGAGCTGAGCTGTTGAGCTGATGTATAGTAGAGCTCATTGCAGAGCCCTGCAAGTGTAGATGAAGAGCTGGTTTGCACATAGGAGCTGCTGTCAGAGTTTCCAGCTGCCTTGCTGAGGAACAGTCCATGCATTTGAGTGCTGGATCTTATTCTGTGAGAAAAGATGTTTTATCCCCAACTACTTCTCTGTATTACATAAAAAGGATTGCTAAAATTCCTAACTTGTATTGTTGTTTTCTTTTCATGAATTCTTTCCAGGTATCACTGCCCAGTGCCTAAAATTTTCTATGTCCAATTAACTGTTGGCAACAGTGAGTTTTTTGGTGAAGGAAAGACTCGTCAAGCTGCTAGACATAATGCTGCAATGAAGGCCCTTCAAGCTCTCCAAAATGAGCCTATTCCAGAAAAATTACCTCAGGTTTGTGTTTCAGAAAACTGTTCCTAATATGCATGTTAAGATATCAAATCGAATAATTTAATTGCCAGTTTTTCAGTGTTTAATTTTTAGTGGTTTTTTTATATTAGCCTCAGCAATTAGAGAAGTAATACTAACAGCTTGTTACTGTCATTTCTTTATCACCTGGTTTTAGGCTTTCAGCCACTTAGTACCTTTTAAATAACTGGTTTTCTCACTGCTACATTTGTAAGTGGTATATATTGCTGCTTAAAAAAATAAAATACTGTATCATATTTTAAAAGTATTTAACAGAAAAATTAATCTCAGAATAATCTTTGTAAATTGAAAGGACAAATACAACATTTCCCAGTCAAAGAAGCCAAGTGCTTGCAGGACCTCTGGGAATGCTGTGATTTTCTGGTACAGCAGTTGAAGACCACTTGGGATACTGTAGGACCTTAATAGCAGATGTCTGTTGGTATGAGACTAAATCGAGTCCTCAGTCAGGAAAACCTCTCTGGCTTGGTTATGCAGAGGGTAAGGGAAGCTGATTGCAGATTAGTCATGAAGAAACATCTCTGTCATATCATGGGTTAAAGTTGTAGGTGACTGGAGAAAGCTGGAGGTAAGCTCTGCCTAGGTCCTGATGGAGGGACTGCAAAGAGTTGTATCAGGTGGAGATAAGTGTAGCTCTCCAGAGAACTGGAGGCTGGTTGAAATAGAGTTCAAGGGCTGCATGGTGCCAAGGTTCAGGCTCCTGCCTGCTGCTGATCATGTGAAGTGCACACAGGACTGCTACACAGTGGTGGGATGTGCCCTTGCCATGGCACAGGGTCAGGGTCAGTAAAACTCTACTTCCTTCAGCAAAACCAACCAGCTTGGGTCATCTGTGGAAGATTATTGATTCATCATTCCTCAGATATCATGCATGGGTCAGAGCCAGTACACATCAGAGTCTGGCTGGCCTCAAGGAAATTGAGCTTCTTTGTTCCCCAATCACCGTGACTCTGCTCCCAGGGAAAGCAGAGTGGCGAGCAAGGATAGACCTGCTGGTACCCATCCAGTAATCCCACTAGGAACTCGGTGAATTTGACTGAAATAGGATCCATGGAATATAGCACAGTAAATACATAGGTTTATCTTTTGGCCTTCATAACTGTGTTTGCTTAATGCTGTCCTCTATATACTCTTTCATTTTGAGGTATCTTTTTTCCTTTTTTAAAAAAAAACTTAGTTAAGGATAAAATCTTATCTGTATTAAGCCATTGAAGAGGAGTATTGCTATCTTAGTACTTCATTGCACAAATGTGTAAGGTGAGCAGAAACAAGGAGCCATCAGCCAACAGGGCAGGGTTGCAGGTGAATGTGAACCTGCTTTTACAAAAGAGCTGTTGTGTGTCTGCCAAAGCAGCTCTGCTGTCTCATAGATGTGAGGCTAAGAAAGGCCTTACAATTAAAGTGTCATTTGTGGAATGAGGATCAAATTTAAATCCAAAGCGCCTGAGTCACTCCAGAACATATTTTATCTTCCTTGGGGAAGTCACATAACTAAGGCTTGAAACTTTATTGCTTTGTACTAAGGTCTAAGCCTGAAAGTCTTCATCCTCCCTTTTCTCAACTCACACTTAGGTTCTCTACTGTGGTGGAAAAATATGCAAGGAGTTAAATTGTAAGGGCGGAAGGGACAATCAGGGATTTTCTGGACCAGATGTGCTTGTATTAATTATGAAATTTTAAACCATAACTTCTAGTTTAGACTATACATATCTGATTAAGCTAGAGTATAGCTAGAAAAACTAAACATTCTTTACTTGAGGGCTTGCTGCAGTCCAGTGAGCATTATATTATTTTATGTAAATTATGCCAGTGTTAGATTATTCCCCATTTCAAAGATAATTTGTGAGGTGTTTCTTCTAGAATTCACTTAGCTTAATTTTTATCTAACTGCTATTTTCTTATCTTTGCTAAATGTTATAAAGAGATATCAAAAATCTCTCCCCCTTATACATTTACAGATTATGCTTAAGTAATTTCAAATGTTTTTATAGGACTGATTGTTTCCATAGTGTCTTAGTGTGAAGGCATTTTTTCTAATCAGTAATTCATCCTTGTGGCTTTTTTTTGGTCAGCTTTCTAGATTGCCAGTGTTATTTATAAAGCACAAACTTAATTGAATACAATACTGAGTAATGTTCTCACTAAAGGTTATTTACAGAATAGTTGTGCCCCACCCTTTATGTTTGATACTCTTTATATCCCTAAAATAGATTTTACTTCTAAATATTGTCCTTTTAACTTTGTTGTTTGTTCTCAGTGAACCTAATCAATGCTTTGCTTGTCCTGTAAATAATGGCCTACATTCTTGATTTTGGTGGTGCTTTACATTTCATTATATGAAATGAGCTAGAGGTCCTACATTATTTGGTTCTAACTGCCCTTGTTATTGCTTTGCACTTTACCTTTTTTTTTTCAGCGGGTTCTATAAACTTAATAATATTGTTTTGGTTTGTTTTTAACTCCAGATCAATGTCAGAGATGTAAATGGCTTTTTTTCAGACTCAAAATTTTGCAATCATTTAATGAGACAAAAAGTGCTCCAGGTCTGCATAGTGTAGCTGAGTGCTGGATTTTTGGTCCTGCATTATCTAAAGGATTAATATATTAAGAGATAACAAATGGTAGATAAAAGATTGATACATTTCATTTTAACGTGAAGAACCCAATGCTTTTTAAATGCGGTTTTGTAACTGCGGTATCTGCATTTTGTAGCTGTGCTGGTGGCTGAAGATTTAGATCAGACTTTGTTATGTAAGATGGGAGCTCTGCAGGAATCCACCTAATTCAGCCCAAGTGTCTTTGATGTTTACCTCCGCTAATAAAAAATTAGGAGCCTGGCCAAGGTTACATGGTTGTTGAGAGATTCCAGTTTGAAGCATTGCAGTTTGAAAGTAGCTAAAAGGGAAACCTCTGAGCACTAAGGACATGTGTCCTGGGGGACAAACACCAAAAGGTAGTGGTTGCAAAGGCTGATAACTCTTGAGTGATCCCCATGCTGGTGGCTGTCTGAGAAAAATAAGATTTTCCTAAAGTGTAAAGCAAAGCTGAATTTTAGGAAAATGTTTGCATGTGCCTTTTGTTGTTTTATCTCTTAGCCTCTCTGTTTGTTATGTTCCTATGGATAAATAAATAATGTTCCGTGTTGAGCAAGCTGTTCTCTGTCACTACCTTTTCACACTGGTCATAACTCCCAGAGGGAAGTTGATGGTGGGGCCGTTAACCAGCTGGACCTGCTGAGGACACCTGTAACCTGGTGACCCAGTCGAAGTGTGGGGGTGATTCACTGAATTTCTTCTGAGAGAAGTGCAGTCTTCTGTACTATCCAAGAAGTACAGATTTCTTCCTTGCTTACAAGGGGTACCCACAGAGACACTGAGAAACAGGTCAAAGGGTCTGTTTGATCCTCATGTTTGACACAAGAAATGCATATTCAGATGATTGTTATCCATGCCATTAATAAAACTGAAATCCATAGATGTTACTTTGCTATCTATAACTAATTTATGTATTAATGCACGTCTTCCTTTATTATGAAGCATAAGTGCATTATATATGGCTTCACAGTCAGCAGGTGTCTAATAACAGGGTGCTGAGATGGTTGTACAAATGCCAGTTTACAGCCTGACAGGAGAATTCAAAAGTCTGAGAAATCAGGAAAGAAACGTATTACATATTTTTAAAATCTTTTAAGAATTTTAATATGATTATGTATTCATCATTTTCAGAATGGAGAAACAGGAAAAGAATCAGAAGAAGATAAAGATGCGAACAAGTCTGAGATCAGTGTAGTGTTTGAAATTGCTTTGAAGCGCAATATACCTGTCAGTTTCGAGGTATGTGTTACATTTTTGTCTGTGTTACATATTTATCTGTTTGCTAAGAAAGTATTAAAAAAACCCTGCCACTAAAACTCAACACAGTTAATAATATTAATACATCATAAATATAACTTTCATATTCATGCAAATTATAAATGAAAATTGATAGTGTATCAGAGTCTAAGACACTTTTTTACCTATTAAAATAGATGCTCTTTCATAAGTTTTGGAGACCTAATATTTGGTTGCAAAAAAGTGGATTGCAGAGGGAAAGTTAAACCATCTTCTATGTAGGGCTGTGGGATTAGAATCGGTAGCCACACTCAATCTGACTTGAAATAATCTTCAGAACAGTCAAAGTCTTTATGTCATCATACACTAGAAAAGTTCCCATTGGAACATTTTTATTTTCCACTCTGAGTCCTTATCTATCTCTACTTAAGCCTTCATGATTTTTTTGTTTGTTTCATATGATTTTATCTGTGAACCCTCTTCTGACACCTTTGTTTACCTTAAGTAATAAAGAATATTTGGAATAGCTCCAATGCTATCAATGAAGTAAGTATGGGAGAATGAGTGCTACTAACAGAAAAATTTTTCCGATGAGAAAGTTCTTACAAAAGCTTGTTGTAAAAATCTCACACTGTTGTGGTAAGAAACACCAAATTTTCTAGCTGGGTTTTTTTCTTTTTTTTTTTCCTTTTTTTTTTTTTTAAATGCATAAAATGCTACTGTAAGTGTCTCTTTAATGTGGTTTTTTTCTGTTTTTTTTTTAGTTTTACATTTAAACTGGGTATGTATGAAGGACACAGGTAGTGCTTATACTGGTGATGCTTATTTTCTCCAGTGGTTTTCTGTTTGGACATATAGGCATGTACTTGCATGTCAAAAATAAATAAATAGATTAAGCTGTGGCACACCTCACAGTGTGCTGTGTGCAGTTTACTGACATGTTTGGCCCATGTTCCTGAATTAGCCAACGTCAAAGTTACTATTTGGGCCTTCTTAGAAATATGAGAAATCTCTCAGAAGTAAGAGAGCCAAAGACAAAGAATATTGGTTTTGACTAAGGAATTCCTCGGTATAGCAAAGGCATATGTGCTTTGTATATGTGGTCCATGTAGTATGGACTATTTACAAAGGTAAGATAATGTAAAATCTAGAGGATAAAACTGGGGTGTCTGGGTGTATAGTGTATCAGTTTGCCACTACATGCATGATATAAGATCAGACATACTGGAAACATGTCTGTGTTTCAAAAGGGAAGCTCATAATTAATGTTTCAGTTTTCACACACTGTTTTCTACCTTGAATATTTCAAAGTGTTTGGAATAGTACCATACAAACCAGTGCACTAAAATACAAAGAGATGTATGGCCACAGGTCACCAGAGTAGCTTGGAGGTTGGAAAGAAAAGAGGGATAGTGCTTTACATGTCTTCTTAACTGCATTCCTATTTCAGCTTATTTAAAGGAGAGCATTTTGTAAGGAGGGAATGAAGGCAGAGATACTTATTACAGGAAAAGTCTAATGTGCCACTTGCCAAAGAATGTTAACAACATTGAAAAAAGACAGTTTCTTACTCTCCTGACAGGTTTTGTGTTATTTCCTGCCTGTAAATCTAAGTATAGGTGACATTCTTAAATAGAGTTTTGATTGAACTTGGTTCTGGATTATTTTTCAATAAAACTGCCAAGCAATTACGGGTAATCCCCAGGATCTGGTGTTTCTAATAGGATTTTATTTACAGATGGGCTTGTGTTATTCCAGGCAGGCAGCAAAGCTTTTTCTAGCTTTTATTTTGTGTGCAGTAGCTATAAAATGATCTGCCTTTTCTTCATCTGACAAAGCTTTAGCCAATGTTCCAACAGTGCTGTGTTATGCAACAAAGTAATGGTCATAAATATATGTAAAGTTCTATGTAAATGTGTCCTCAGAATTGCACAAGGGGTGGAAAAGAGGAAGAGCATGCAGAACCCTCAGGTTTCTTCTGTTTGGTGTAAAATGGCTAGTTTTAATTGCCTAGGAACTTTAGGATGAGTTTTACAGATATTCTGTCTATTAAATTCTTAACTAAAATAAATGCATTCAATTCTAAAAAAAGAGCAAGCTTTGCTCCATATTTATCACTGATGCATCCTTAGCTAACCTTTATTCACCTCTTAAGTCAAAATACAACTTCTCTAAGGGGTTTATGGGATTCTCAATGAATAGGTTTTAAGGAGGGATACAAAAGCGATTGCTGTAGGAATTATTAGAATAGCTGTAGAACGGTCATTTTGCTTCTTGTTCCTTCCCAGATAGTAGGCTAAAGTCCTGGTTTCTTCAGTTCTTTTGCGAGGCATATGTTTTTTATTTCTTATTTGTCAGTAAGGAGTTGGGTGAGCCTAGGAGACCTAACTGATGTCAACAACGTCAGGTATTGAAACACATTGGGGTGTTTCAGGCTGTAATTTTATTTTCAGTATTTTGCTTTGGATTGGAGTGTTATTTCTTTAGACTAGCAAATGCAATAATTTAATTTTTTCATTCTCAGTATCAGGAGTGAACACATAGTAGAGTGCCTGAACAGGCAAATTTTCTGCCCCTCTATACCTGTCCAGTATTCTGCTGGGAAAAAGAGATGCAGTTTCTTATGTCCCAGTGTTATCACAGTATGACAAAGTTTCTGTATTTTGAACCAGGAACAGACAAAATTGCTGTCTCTGGGAGACTGAGCAAGTTCTTGGCAGGAAGTTTCACACCTACCTGGCTCCTGCTTTCCTGGAACTTAAGGCTTTGGATGGTTGATGTACTGAGTAGCTCTCAATAGGGTTATGCATGATGATCACCCTTTATCACTCCAGTTTTGCATATAGACTTTTTTTTGAACTTGGAAAATGTAATTTGTCTGCCCACATAGACACCTGGAAATATATTGGTATTTTAAAACTCATGAACAATCATGGATGTAGGTCACATGGTTTTGCTGATCTGATTTTTGTCTTCTCTAGTTTTTGTCCATTTAATCTGATCATAATCTTTTTGAGTATTCTACCTGGACTCTCACTAATAATTGAAGCAGCATTACTCTTTCACTGTAATCATACTGCTGGTTTTCATTTGTCAGCATGATTCATTAAGTTGAGCCAAATTCATTCTTGATGTAACTTGACCTTAGATGTGTTTTGGCCCCATGTGTTTTCTCTTGCTGTAATTATTCTTTAAATCCATGGAACAGAAAAAGAAAAGTGTATTGAACTGTCACCCCTAATCAAATTCTCAGCTTTAAATTACCCATGATTTGGTCCACAGGTCGTATCTTTCAACTGAGGAAATAGTTTAATGTCCTAATGCATATAGTGTTCTTGGATAGCAAAGGCTGAATTTCTTTGTAGTGTTTTCTGTCCCAAGGCTCATAGCACAACTGTTTGAAATCATGTGGAGTAAAATGATCTAAAATCTGGGGTTAACCAAAAATGTTGTTAGATAAATATTTTTTTTGCATAATTACCAAATTTAGATGTTTAGCTTGATCCCGATCCCATCTGAATCCTATGGGGTTCATTCCACTGACAGCACAGACTCTTTTTCATTTACACACTAACAAAGAAACAGTTTTTAATGTTTTCCAGTCAATTATTTACCTTGTGTCACATACTTAAAATTTAAAAGATGGAAAACACACCAGAATGCATTAGTTTTATATTAGGAAATATATTTTTGTGCATATGAAAATATAATCCGGTTTTGTATTAACATTCTTTCTCTCATACATATATGTGTGTGCATTTATATATATTT